GGGGAGTTTCTACCTTAATATATGCAAGTGATGTGTTGATGGTCATCATTGAAATTCAAATTCATTGCATATATTAAGGGGGAGCTCTCTATAAATTTTGGGGTTCAAAAGTTTTAAATTCTTACATTCTTATGAAAGCCTAAGTTGGTTGTCATCAATTACCAAAAAGGAGGAAATTAAAAGTGCATTTGCCCCCTATGTGGGTTTTGGTGTATTGATGACATCCAAATTAGGGACTAATGAGATCTTAATGAGATATATTGCAGCTTTTGTCCCTTGAGAGCTTTAGAAGAGTTGATCTAAGATGAAATGGTATCCCTCAATTCTTTAAGTGCAAAAAGCGGATGAACCTAAAGTACTCTCCAAAGCCTTTTTATTTTGTTTTGGGTTTAGGTATGCCATACTATAAAGAGGAATGCAAGTTTAGGTGGTCTGAGGAAGATAGAGTGCTGAAGCATAAAAGTAAAATCAAAAGAGAGACACAAAATCACCTCACGAACAATTGGACATAGTTTGTGGACTTTTGGTAGTCGGAAGTTTTGGCGTGAGCCAGGAGTTTCGGCTGTCGAAAGTCTCGATGTTTGGTTCTAAAAGTCCCGGCGCTTGTTGACTTAGCCGTAGCTCGCCTCCGCATCTTCACCCGTCGGAAGTCCCAACAGGAGTCGGGAGTTTCGGGTGTCGGAAGTTCTGGCTCCCTCCGGAAGTCCCGACACTTCACGACTTAGCCACCTACACATCTTCGCCCATCGAAAGTCCCGACTGGAGTCGGGAGTTCCAAGTGCTAAAAGTTCCGGCTCCCGCCGAAAGTCCCGACGCTTTGGGACTTAGGCGCCTAGCTTACCATGTATGTCGAAAGTCCCGATGGAAGCCGAACTCTCAGCTGCCGAAAGTCCCAGTGACCGGTGCGAGTTCCGATGATATGTGGGCAAGCCCAGTGGATTATCTACGTGAACAATGTTTTTGCGTTGAGCTAGAAGTTCCGGCGTTCTATGTTGGAACTTCTGACTCAGATCTGAACGATTGGATTTGCCTTTGAGTAAAAATAGCTCTCTCCTCTCTTCTAACTAGAATCACTTATTCATTGCTCACAAAGCTTCATCCAAAATAGCTCACAAGTATTCAAGGCTCTCCTCTCCTCTCCTCTTTGCTCCAATCTTCGATCCCCCTAGGTTTTTAAGTGAAAGGAGAGTGGATTGAGTGAGAGAATCACTTTGGCAAGCTTGAGCACTTGATTTCTTCATCAAGCCGGTTGGATTTGCGTCTATTACTCTTGGGTTCTTGGAACCCTAGCCGGCTAGGCATCGCCCAAGAGCTTCCATCTTGTGGAAGAGCCTTGGGAAGTTTGTATTACCCTTGATTTCTTAGTGGAAAGCTCGAGTGACCTTTGTGGTTGCTTTGAGAGAGGCAACGAGGAGGAAGAGACTCCGACCTTTGTGGTCTCCTAAACAACGAGGACGTAGGAGCTCCTTTGTGGGATTGCCGAACCTCGAGATAAATTCTTGTGTCCCGCGTGCTTGTTGTTGTTGTGATTTATGCTATCATATTTGTTCTTGTTGGTTTGTCTTCCTTCCCAACTCAAATCTTAGGGTTTGGACTTGATCTACGGAGTGGTGACCTTCCGGCGTCAAAGGAGCAACCCCAACACTTCATCTTACTACTAGGGAGTGGGGTTGTAAGATATTTTTCACTCAAAGTTCGTTTTAGCACTTGTAGTGCTATTCTCGTAGGTGCCGGAACCCCCGGTTGTTTGCGTCGGAACTTCCAGCTGCCGGAACTTCTGGCCCAAACTGTCTTCCGACTGTCGCTGACATTTGACTTTGAGATTACGCATAATTTTTTTAGATTACATAGAAAGGAGACATGGGGCTATGCAAAAGTTATTCATAAAAAAAAGAAAATATGAGAAAAAAATGGACAAGTGTCCGAGATATTTAAAACAATGGGTACTTAGATGCCCGCCAAAAAAAGAGAAGAGAAAGAGAGATGAATAAGATAGCCCATGCTCTCTAGCAAATGTTTTCAAGTTTTAAAGAAGAGATATATTTTCAAGGAGCATAGTAGAATTAGGTTAGCCACCATATATCCACACACATGCACATCTTGATTTGATTATATGACTCAACTCTCATTAGATCCGTTGTTTGACTTTACAATATATGCATTGCAAGTATGCTCTAGCTTTCTCTCTACCTATGAACTCCACATAAGCTTTAGTTGTAGGAAGAAAAAAAGAGGCATAACATCTTTATTGCCTTTGGTGAGGATCCACAAATATCACATATATTGAGAGACTTGAGAGTCTCATACAATGGAATCTCTGAGTTTTATTTTGAAAACTTATAAAAACTCTGGAACAATGGTGGAACAAAGAACTTGAGATATAGTGCTTGATTTGATCGTTATGTCTTTCAATTGCTCAAGACCCAAGTGAAGGTTAAGAAGCCCCATGGTTGAAGGTAATATGGATAAGTTTGAAAGTCAAATCAGTTTGTTCTAATCCGGAGGAGAATTTTGGATTGAACGCATGTGTACTTTTGAGGAGTGAAAACATTGTAGCAACTCCTAGATCCATTGCTGAGTTTAGCTTTGCTCTAGGGACTGGCAAAGGTTAAGCTTGGGGGAAATTGTTGATGGTTACTAACATCAATTATAAACTGTCAACATAACCTGTATTTATATATAATTCCATCACCAAACATAGGTATAGGAGTTTAAACTAATAAATTCCATGAGTTTTGGTGAATCTGTGTTTTCAGCAGGGTTTATCCAGAAAATCATCAAGGGAATCTATTCGTCAAAGGAAATTATGGAATTCCGCCGCGTAATCAACGTGGGAAGACTCTAGAAGGCGAATCACCAAAGTGGAGCCCGTGTCTATAACATGTGGGGCTGCCCGCCCCACCTAGAGGCCACACGACCTATGGGTCCCCATGTCAGCGTTCTATTGCTATGTCGGTTCTCCACCGCCTCCTAGGTTGCATCTACGCCGTCTTTTAAGTCGATTTGATCCAATGGCTCACATTGGACGCTCCGGCCTATATATACCAGCCCCTGCCACCCTCCCTAAAGCCATCCTAAAACCCTAATTCATATCATGAGGATCAGAGCCAGTTATTAAGAGAAGATTAGTCCTCCATAGGATCTAGTCTTATAAATAATAGTGAGATAAAGAGTGGGGGAAGAGTTTGGAGGAGGTGCCGGCCTATCGGTGCTCTCTCTACGGCTTGTACCTTGGCAGATTCAAGTTATACCTGAGCTTGCATCTAAGATTTGTCTGGTAATCAACTTTCGATTCAAGTAAGCATCTTATTTATATTGTTCTTTAGGTTCACGACTCTCTTTTGATTGCTTTATTCTCTTCCTAGGGGGAGTAGAGTATTAATCATAAGTGTAAGCGTGGTGCTTAGATTTAGGTTAATCATGGATGCACCTTGCATTCTGAAAGGTGGTAGATCGCGTGAGTGACATAAGTTCTATATAGCCTGTACTATAAAGCTTCGTTGATCCTTTGTAGTCCACCTTCCATCTATAGGCATACGTAGGACGCGGTTGCGAAGGAAAACATCCTCTGCTGGTGTCTTTCCCTAGTAATGTCCCCAATTGAATAGTAGAAAACATAAGCTTACCCAAGTTAAAACTAGAGAACTTTAGTTATCCTCTCTACGCTCCTATTTATCCTAACCTTATTGCTACCCTTAGATAAGTTAGACCATAGTTAGTCTCACACATTTTCCCGCTGATATGATACTTGGAATACTTTCGGGTGAAAGCTATAGTGGTATCCGTGCGCTTGTGGATTTATCTGTGTGCGTTAAAATATACCAACACCCCTCAAGCTCTTAATGTTGGCAGGCACCGGGCATTGTTGCACTACTATGATTTTGGACTATTCAGTGGCTACTCCTTTAGCAGAAATACAGTGGCCTAAATACTCAACCTCTTGTTGTGCAAATATACACTTTGACAACTTAATGAAGAGTTGATGTTTATTCAGGATCTCAAATACTTGCTGTAACAGTTGTATATGTTCCTCTAGAGTTTCATAATATACTAAGATATCATCCATGAAGACTAAAACTCCTTTTCTCAGTAATTGTGCAAAAATGATGTTCATGATCCCTTGGAATGTTGCTGGTGCATTGGTCAAACCAAATGGCATCACTAAGAACTCATATAGGCCACTGTGTGTTTTGAAAGCTGTCTTGTGAGCATCTTGTGGCTGATACAAATCTGATGATATGCAGCGCGAAGGTCCAATTTTGTAAACCATTTTGCACCAGCTAATTCATCAATGACCTCATCTACTAATAGCATCGGATGTTTGTTCTTAACAATCTGTGCATTGAGATGCCTATAATCCACATAGAAACACCAGCTGCCATCCTTTTTTCTGACAAACAACACATGGGAGGCATAAGGACTTACATTCTGCCTGATAATGCCTTGCTTAAGCATGTCTGCTAATTGCTTTTCAATCTCATCCTTTTGACCCAGAGAGTACTTGTATGGCCTAATATTTACTGGTACAACTCTAGGTATGAGTTCTATCTGATGATCAAGCTGCCTCTGAGGTGGTAATGCAGTAGGCTCCTAAAACAAGTTAGAGTAAAAATCCAACAGCTCCCGAATCCCATCAGGTAAAGGGCTATGTCTTGAAGTGAGACTGAATGTATCTCCTGCTCACTGCTGCTGTCATTACCAAATAACTCATCCTACTTGAGTTGTAGACAACAAGTTACATTTTGTTGGTTAAGCACTCCATGAAGCCTATCAACAGATATTGGTGCACAACAGTTCACACCTTGCTCTAGACCATTTAGTGTAACCCTCCTCCCATTATGAGTAAACTTCATCACTTTGTTAGACCAATGAATCCACATTAGGATGCAAGATTCTAGCTAATCTTTACCCAAGATCATATGAAAACACTTTGGTGGAAGCACTCCAATAGTAGAGATGAAAGTGTGACCCTGCAGAGTCCATTATAAATCCTTGACCTGCTAAGAACAAACCATTGGACCTCCATCAGCTGTAACAAATTGAGTAGGTGTACATTTAGACAGAGGCACCTCCAACCATGTAGCCAATTGCTGACTGACAAATGTACCCACACTACCCGAGTCCACCAAGATAAGTATTTCCAATTTACCAATTCTACCATAGACCTTCAACATTCGACACTTAACTTGGGTACTGTCAACAGTCTGACCCACTACTAATATTGTCTCATCTTCAACTTCCACCTCCTCACTGTCCTCAACATCATCCTTTGGCCGATGCAAAGCAATGACAGAGCGTATCTCTTCCTTCAAACCAACCACAAATCGATTCACAAAGTAAGTATCATCATAGCCACTATTGTACAACAATAGGCATTGGGCAATCTTCTCAAATGCAGCCTGGTACTCCACAACAGACCCCTTCTGCCTCAATGCATCGAACCGATAGAGCAAGATTTGATACTGATTCTTGTCGAATTTCTGCATCACCATTTCACAGAGCTGAGACCATTCCATAATCCTCCACTTCCTCTACGCTGTCTGCAACCATGTCGCTGCCACCCCTTTGAAATTTAGCGTTGCAAATCTCATCTTCAGAGAGGGATGTACTGCATAGACCTCGAAGAACACCTCACATTAGTCGCGCCAAAACCAAGGAGAGTTGCCATCAAACTTCGGAAATTCCATTTTAGGAAAAGGAGGCGACCGACAATTCGTAGGAACATGATTATCAGGCGAAAAGAATGGAGGTGGGTTTGGGAAGGGAAACATACTCTTCTGGATGTCCTGTGGCCGGGGTCTGAGGATGCCGCCGCAGTGTTCGGCGGGCCCCGTGGGCTGCTCCCCGTCCCTAGCTGGAGAGCTAGAGGACAAACCTAGAGCTAGGTTGAGGTCGACCAACTTGGGACCTTGAGGAATTGGAGTGGTTGCGGGAGCCATCGTCAGTCACGTCTCAAGCGAATCCATGCATGACGTAGCGAGATCAACCCGCTTGGCGATTGCTTCCAGAGTCATCGTCATACCATCCGCCCGCTCTCACAATTCCTCAAACGCCTTGTCGGCTGTCGATTGCCACGAACCCATGGTGTTCAGTGAGTCCAACAGTCCTGCATCATGGTCTAAAATCCCATGAACTGTTTCACCATCTTCTCGAACTAGGCTGAGAGCTCCTCCACCGACTTCGCCATGTACTACTAGAACTTGCTCGATCCTTGCTTTGGCGCTAGCCTCACCGAAGATCAGCAACTCCACGCGATCGATTCTCCGTGTGATTTTTTGACCCGTTTGTGGTAGAACCGCCCGAAATAACACGCTTTCGGAAGCGCTCATCTTCCACTAGACACTAAGCACACCCCAAGGGAGAACTTGAAACAATCCACGTTTTACATCTAGAATCCAATAATGAGTATGAGCTTATAATACTTAGTCCATTTTATACAACAAGAGTTCTTGGAAATTATTTATTACAATACCATATTTCAGAGTGCGATAATTAAACAGCGGAATAAAAATAAACATCTAGCGAAAACGATACAAGGATCTGTCTGTGCCCATCAGAAGAATCCTCCACACAAGAGCTACTCCTCAAGCTGCACCAGCAACAAGGGTAACATAAACCCTGAGTACACAATGTACTCGCAAGACTTACCCGACTAATAAGAATAATTTCTCGACTCTCAAGGATATGATAGGCAATATGGATTTGCTGTTTTCTTTTTGTTTGCGGAAAGCATTACTAATAGTTCATCCTTACAGTCAAGTTTTATTAGCAGTCATGATTACTTCATTAGTTAACCATTCTAGGTAAGCACTGTTCTACTTTGAAGCAAGGGTTAAGCAATTAGAACCATTTCACCATCTTTCATCTTCCAGTTCTTACTACGGTGCTAGACCATAGCCAAAACGTACCGTCTCATGGAAACGGTGATTCGTGAACCAATGTATAACAGATGGGTACCCCAAAACACACGTCCCATTTGTACCCCAGGCACAAACAAGATCAACCCATTCCACTCCTATCATGGGGTTTAGATCTCCGTCCAAACTTGGACTCCAAGCCCCCACACTTGAGACCTGGTCTCAACATGGTGCTTAGACCTCCACCTTTCCCCGCCACCAATCAGTCAGTCTAGAAAGAGATAGAACCCATGACAAGAGTGTAACGAGCCTTCTCGCTCCCATATGCAAGTATATGCTTAGGATAATAAGTCTGTGACATACTACCATCCACAGCAACGAATGGTCCTTAATCGACACGAACAGGGAAAACAGTGTAACCAAGCTAAGCCTCGTTGACCACAGGACACAACATGTTACACCCACCAATAACCATACCATATCCCTGCCCTGTCTTTATTTTTCCTTTCATCATTTTATTATGAGAGTAATAATAATCCCCTATTATGAGCAACGACAGGTTACTCACGCTACCGATGACCCAAGCATAGCATCTGCTCGAACCTGCACTAGTAAGACTCTTAGGACAGGTATATCTATACATGTGGTTTTCATAAAATTCCTGTAACGTAAATGCACAACACATATATATACGGTGAATTATAAAATAGAAGTTATGCACCGGGGCTTGCCTTGGGTAGGCGCGGTGTCAGCTGAGTCAGTCAGTGGCGGCTCCGGGACCTCCTCCTATATGAGAATCTCCTCCTCGTACTCCTCAATGATCTCCTCGAACTCGTGATCACCGGTGGTTACGATCTCCGCCAACTCGTATTCTACATGCATGCGATGATGATGCAACACTTAGCATTTAGGCAACATCAACTCTTAAAATAAGAATACACATACTAAGCTACTAAGATAGCTCTAATGACTAAGATACTAAGCTAACTATCATTTTCATCTAGCAAAGTGTTGGTTTCAACTAACAAACCCTTAACTTGGCAATTTAAGGATTTATCTTTATTTCTACTAGTGATTTAATGTATATTAAAACAAAGAGCATTTAACTACCCTATGCTTAGTCTATTCTAAAGCTATAAAAATTACAGTGAGCACATAATAATACAATAAAACTGCTGTAAAAATTTAAGGATCAAAACTATCATCAATTCACCACAAAAATTCCTACAATAATTAACTTAATATTATTAAGCATTCTCAAATGATTTAATAGCTCCTAATGTTAACACATATAAACATGAACTAAATACATCAACAGATAGAGCATAATTTTAGGAACCTAACAAAATTCGTTTCACAATTTTTGGACACCTATATGATTTTATATTAATTACCAAAGAACAATTTAGAAATTAAATTAGAAAACCATTTACTAATTCCTTATGAAAAGAAAATTGAATCTCCTGCGCGACCCACATGCGTGGCCCGCTGGTACGGCCCACGCGAGGCCGGCCCGCTCGCGAGGCAGCCCGTGGTAGGAGAGTCCTGCGCGCGTTGGCGCTTTTGCAAAAGAGGCCTCGCACTTCTCCCAAATCACAACTAAGTGCTAACACTATTTCCCCCTTTCTCAGACCTTCTCACTTAATCCCCCCGTCCTTTCCCTAATTCACCCGCGCGCACCCTCGGTGGCTCAGTGCACGGCAGCGCGGCGGACGGTGACACAGCACGACCGCGCCGACCACCAGATGCTCGCGCTGGCCCATCGGTCGGGCCAACCTTCAACTACGGTCCAACCGCCTACACCAAGCAGCAACACGAGGCGGCGAGACGTGCTGGAGGGAGCTGCAGCGACGCGCGGCCGTCCGCGACGGTGACGTGGCTACCCCGGTGAACCAGAGCACCTAAGAACCTAACTACCTAGCGAGGGAGCATCGGTAGACTACCGTGTAGACCTAGCCGAGGTGACGGTTGGGGTGGAGGATGGCGGAGGAGGTGTGGCCCACGTCTTGAGCGAGCCGTGTGTGCGGCGCAGCCATGATGGCATGCAATCGCGTCGATGGCGGCAGGGGAGTAAGCGGTTCCACTAGCATGCGCAAGGTGGAGAAGGAGGCAAGGCAAAGCTAGTGGTGCAGGTGAATTGCCTCGAGAGGGACGGTAGGAGGGCTGCCCTCGTCCACGGTCGGACGTGGCCTTATTGTCACGGCGGCGAGAAAAGAGCCAAATTGGAGCTTGGCAGTGCCTTCTTCATGGCTGGGTGGGGTCGGGTAGTAAGAGAACTTGATGGTAAAGCCGCAGATGTGCTGAATTAAATGGAAGTGATCACTCGGTGGCCAATTTGATGGTGCGGCTCGACGGCGGCAACAGAGGGAGAGAGAGACAAGGCAGCAAATGGGCTCATCTCGGTCTCGCCTTGGCGGGATGTGGCCGGTGTGATCTAGGTGTGACGCACGCACAAACACCACGAACAAGCACATGCGTCCACGACCGGCATGGCCCGCACGGTAGTGGCGGCATCGAACTAGGCCGGTAGCGACGCAGAGGTGCAGAGGGGAGGTGCGGACATGATGGCGAGGCGACGACACCGGCAACAACTGTGTTATGGCGCGGGGCGGATCGACGGTGTGGCAGCGCGGCGAGGCAGGCTGCAGCGTCGTCCGGCCGTGCGAGTAGCAGCAGCGGCTCAACGTGGCAGAGCCAGTGGTGGCCAGGCCAGGGCAGTCACAGCCGGACACGCGTGGCAGCGCGCGTGCACGCGCAGAGTGAGTAGGCGCGGCGACATCGCGCCCCCGAGACGTGGTGACCGCACTCACCCGGTGAACTAGCCCGAAATCACGTCTTGCATGAATTTTAAAGCGCCTATAAAAACTAATCGGTTGCTCTGGAACCTAAACCATCTTCACCATGCTCCAGAGGGGATATGAGGCTACCAACCCGAGCTAAAACACGACACCACCTCCTAACTCGATTTCACAAAATAAATCATTAAACATTGCATTGTCTAGCTGTCAACATACTTGAAAATATTCCAAATTTTTGAGCTGAATTTTATTCCAAATTGCATTTCTAGGCTATTAGAAATGTTGGCTAGCACTGTTATTTCTCCACGGTAAGTATTTCATTGTCATCTACGAAGTTCGTATTTCAAACTTTATTTAGCGCCACATATATGTTCTATAGCATTTTGTTCAATAAAACTTAGTTTTAAACCCTAATTGATACATATGAGTTATGGAATAGCTTATCATTTAATATTTTTATTGATCATCTGAAGTTACAAAAATGTTATCTACACATTCTATCACATATATTATCACATAAATTTGATGCTTATGACATGATTTAGTAGTTTGTTTAGGGTGTAACACCGGCTCGGACCTTTGGAGCGTGTGATTCAATCACCGAAGCGAAGAACTACGACTCCTGCCGATGGTGATTAGGAACACGATCAAGGATAACCAAGCGTGGCATAGATCGAAGCGCAACGGCTTTGATACCAATTGTTGTGTTCCGGGATGAACACAACAGATAACTTGGGAATTTGGAGTTTAGATGGGGAACAGCAAGAACTTGGGAGGAATTCAGAAGAATAGAGTTTAGATAGGGAATAGCATTTCATGGTTCAGATAAGTATTCGA